CCGGTTCCTCTCCTGCAAAGGTTGTTAGCAGCTAGAGTTGAATTTCCTTCAGTTTGTGCCATTATAGGAGGAGTCCTTGGACAGGTGATTATGCTGCTGTCTTGTTCAAAAATACTATTGGCACCTCTCGACTTTTTCGCTTATGTGTTCCTTTTATTTTTATCCTTATAGGAGGTTATAAAAGCAATATCTGGAAAAGGTGATCCTCTTAAAAACTTTTTCTTGTTTGATGCCATGGATGGCAAAGGAATAATAGAGGACATATCAGGATAATCAGTGGCTTGTGGTAAAAATTCTTTATATTAATGCTAACCTTATTTGTGGATTTGTCTCCTATTGGATGAACTTTCACTATGTAATTACTCCACTAACCATATGTTATCTCACTGATATGACTTAGTTGAGCTTTTTGAGTGTTAATCTGATTGCACTTTGGTTAAACATCATATGCTGGTTTATTTCCTATTCCAACATGATCATGATATTTTATCAGAAATACTTTTACACAACAGGCTATTAGCAACCAAAGAAATTAAATTATTAAAAAACTGTGTGAGTTATGAATAATGCTGTTGTTCTTTTGAGGGGGAAGATCTTTTGGTGGATTGTAACTTTTAAATTATTAAAAAGTGGTGCAAAGTTAAGTTATGAGTTGTGACCATCACTCTCCATTTTGCCCCTTTTTTGTTGATGATTGATTCATGATTAGTATCTTTTAGAGAATAGAACAACACTCTTGGATTTTAAAAATACAAATCAACTTTTGCACATTGAAAAGTTTTTCATAATTGTTACTCTTAAATAAAAAAAGTTGACTTTAAGAGTAGATAAATTACTAAACTAAAAAGTAGTACACAAGGTGATTAATTCTTGTTTCTACAATTTTGATGGACAAGGTTACCCACGAGAGATGCACAAGTTGATTTCAAGTTTTGAACCCTAAGATTATAACTATGCATTAAAGAAAATACTCAACTAAACAAAAATACGATATTTTTTTTACTAAATTTTACAAAACGGGGTCCCAAGGGGAGAGTGTACACAAACTTTTCCTTTATTTTTTGGAGGTTAAAAGACCTTTCATTCAAGTGAAGTAAATCAAAGTAGTAATAGAGATGAAAAACAACGATAAAGAAAAACATGATGACTCATAGGAAAGCAGTGTGGGCATATATATACAAGCAAGGAATCGTAAAATTAACAATAAGGTAAAATCCCCTAAATATAGTAAACTACCTAAATAGGCTAATATTAAGACAATGTTCGATTACCTACTAATCGACAGATAATCAACCTATAATTTCATCTGTTCTACCATTTGGACACAACAAATGCTTAAGATGATTTTCCAAGGGAGAAATAAAATTGGAAAAACCCTTCAAATATGTGTCAAACTATATTTATTTATCATAATAAAGTAATTTAATAGGGTGAAACTATACAATAATTTACCATAGTTTTATAGCGAAAGAAATGGTGTACAGACACATACCATGCCTGATACATCTATTGATTTAATATAAATATGCGATATGGAAATCTTTTATCGAAAACTAAACTAAGAAAAATGCAAATCCAACCGAGTGTTAGTTCTGTTGTAATTGGTTCTATGAACAAATCTCCACCAAAAAAAAAGGAAAATTTTTAAAAATATAGCACCCAACACAAAATATTACGTCACGTAGCCTAATATAACACTATACTATATTATACATGGGAGGAAAACATTATACATTATATGTTCGATCATATACAAAAGTTTATAATAATATGCAAAAAATGCTATACACAAATATATTCTCATATGTATATTTCGAGGATCGAAACGTTTCACAAGAGCTTCTAGGTCCCCACACACACAAAAAAAAATTATAAGGAAAAAATTGATATATTTATTAAAATGCGACTTCTTCTTGAGATAGATTTATCAAAAAAATTTCAAAGATATGATGCAAATATTAGATATTTATTTATTTATATATACTCTTAAAAGGATATGCAGAATCTGTTTTATTTATTTATTTTTAAAAAAGGAAATCCATTTGAATATTAACATCTGAAATGTTTTTGTTTATTTTATATATAAAAATATTTTTTCAAAGTTCACATAACTTAAATATTTTTCGCAAATCTTATTCCAGTCTTCGATCTTCCAATTACTAATCATGCCATTCTGTCTGGAATAAAAATATTCGATTCTATACATATGAATATACATAAAAGAACATGAAAAAATTATTTATTCACCAAACTACTGACTTGGTACCATGAGAGATATGACATATTTGACAGTTTGATAGATACCTAATTAGGAATATAATCAATAACATTGAAGAAAAAAACAAATAAATATACCATCTTTATATATATTCCAAGAAGAACAAGTTGGCAAATTTGGCCTAAATCAAGACCCTAAAAAAAGTAGTGTCATGACGAATATAGTGAAAAAAATAATTATATATAAGGGTATAAATATGAAAAATGAAATTGCTCATCGTTATGCTCCTAATACTTTATTCGTTTGTTCACCTTTTCAAATATTAATATACGACTAAAAAAATTTATGTAAACGCCACTGACAATTTAAAAAAATAGGTTGGAATTGGAAAAGCATTTTCTGAACACACACTTGAAGTAAATTTGCAATCAAACTCTAACCTACAAGAATTTTTCAAAAGTTGGGCACTTTTGAAATAGCATACATCAACACTCTTGTACAAAAGACGATATGATATTGGCACGGCTCAATCAAATTAAAATGACCAAAAATGTTTGGAAACTTTCATTAGATTGAGCCATTCCAACATCACACCAACTCCTCATAATTGTGAAGTCAAACATGGACGAGAAATATAGGAGTTCACCTGATATTAGCAGAGCTTTATCAGAGAATTTCTTATCTTAATAGTAACTTTTCAAAGAAATAACATACTTGGATGATCTCACGAGGAAGTACTCGTGTTGCATCCCTCTTTCGAAATAAACAAAGAGACCAAGATTATACTATTGGCTCCATGATCATGGTAGTTGTATAATGAGGAAACCCTAGTTTTGGAGGGAGAAAAAGATGGAGTAATATTATTATTATTATATATATATATATGAAAGAAAAGTAGTTAAGTTGGTGGATTTATAGATAATAATTTAGGACATTTTGATATAAATTAGGTTTTGGGCTTTTGGCTAATGGTGTTCCACGACATATATAGGTAGTGGTTGATGATAAGCATCTAAATAACACAAAAACAGCTAATTAAGGTCCCTTTCACTACATTTATGTTTCTTTCAGATTGCATTTTCTAAAGATTTCTTTTCAATCATTTGTTAACCTAATTTTCATTTTTATAAAAAAAAAAATGTGTTTTTCTTTTATAATCCTTGCCATGTTTTTATTGCACAGACCAAAATAAAAACATCATGCTAAAAAAACACAGTTTAGATACAATAGTACGACCCTACTTCACAAACTTTTCATTTTTTGACATATTCCTGGGATTGCTTAAATATATTAATATTACTATTATGATTAAAATAAAAATATATGATTATTACTATTTGTAGTCCCAAATAAAGTGTTATCCAACTGTGACTTATGGCGGGTAAAATGAGATCCAATTGCCCTCTAAAAGAAAGAAAAAAGAAAAAAGAAGAGATATCTTAACCATTTATAAATAATTTTTTTTTAGATCTCTTATATGAAAAATTAAAAATTTCTTATTGAAAAACATAGAACTAAAAATATATAGTATATAATTGACATACAAAAACCAACTCTCGTTTTGTACATCACAACCCATTAAGTAGTGTCGTAAAACTTCACAATTATTAGCTCGTGCGGCCTATAATACCGGTATATTGCATGGCCTGTTTTGGACGCAATTATTGAAATTCATTTTCTAGTTGGAATTATTCCTTTTGAATATCCGGCCACAAAAGCAGAATCAGAATTTTAAAATTTATTATATTTAAATTTTAGTTTCTAAGTTATTTTTTATAACAAATATAAAATTTAAACTAAAATTACTGTGTTTGATAAAAATCCATAACCAACACTCTTCCTTCGCTCCTTCCTATTAATTGGTCGAATTGGGGGCTATAAAAAGGACATTCAGAAGCTAATGATTCCAGAGTCCTCATAGAGGCTCATAAACAAAAAAAAAAAAAACTATTATCACAGTGTGCAGATCAATTTTCACGTATTACAACTAATTTCACGTATCTATCAGCTCCTACCATCAACAAGTATCAGCTCCTACCATCAACAAGTATAAGATAATTATATCCACTAAGCCTAATATAAGAGAATTGAAATCATTTAATATATTTCGTCTCTAATCGAATTTGAGTCTGATGGCTGAGATCTCATGATTCTCTTCCAAACGAAAATTGTACGTGTTTTCAATTTAAAATCTTCTCTATTGAGTTTTATATGATGATATTTGAGTAAACACAAAATTTAAAATGATAATGGACCAATGCATTATATAGTGGTAGCGGAAAACAAATGTTAAAGTAGTGATAATTTTTTACAATGGAGAAAAATATGAGAAACAAATTTGAATATCCAGTAGTTTTATTATATATCGAGAGGTTAAAGTTCATTTTACTATACTTCATTTTCAACATATTCTGTACACATAGTTGATCAACCAGCGAACAAGGAACCTCATTATTAACTTCTTCCATTTCATAACGAGGGCAGAAGCTAGGTGGAAGCAAGGGGTTCATCCGAACCCTACTTCTTCATATTTTGAATCTCTAAGTCAAAATTTTGACTCCGACACTATTTCATAATCCCGACACATCTTTATTGGAATTCCGAGTTGAACACCAGGAGAAATCGAACAAATCAAAGATTAGGAGTTTCTTTGATAAGTGAGTGAATTTTAGTCACCTCACAATCAGCATCAACAAAAGGTGATGAAGACTTCCTTTATCATTCAAGAACAAGGAGGCATGAGTTGTTTACTTATTTATGACCAAATTATACTGCGGTAAAGAACTAGCCAAGAGAACAACATTTGATTAGAAAAGATACATGAAACAGAGTAGACACAGCACAATAAGCTCATTTCTGACACTACTTTTTTACTGGTTAATAGAAATATAGCTAATACTCCGATCAAGCCGGTCAAAACACCAAATAAGAAAGGTATGATTTTCCGTGTTAGCCAAAAACGTGAAGAGCTAACAGGAGTATGCCTGAAACGACGAACACTGAGTATGAGAAAAAAGTTTCAAAGGTCAAACAAGTTGGCTGGTAAAGCTTGTGTTCAAGAACAATAATAAAGTCTCCAAACTAGTATTGCTAGCATGAAAGACTACATTTGGCACCGCACAGACGTTGACGCCACCTTTGGGGTCCACTGACCAAGAACAGTGATCCATTTTGCTCTCTATAGTCCTACTTCACTCGATCCATAGATTTCCTTATTGCTTGAGCAATTATTGCCAGCAGTCCACAGATGAGCAACTGTTCCACCAGCCCACAGAGGAGATTCAGATGATGATGGTGAATCTGAGAAGAGAGAGTAGATATTCTAAGGATCTTCTAGAAACTCGAATGAGTATCCCCATTTCAGTTTTTAGAGTTGTCTGTGTGATAGAGAAAGGGAAGGGGGGGGGTTACGGAATTAGAAATGCTATTGCAACTATCTATTGTTTAAATTATAGGTAGTAAAAAATGATACTGCAAGTGACTTGTCATAACCTGATTCTGAATATTTGACCTCCTGGTCAGTTGTGATATTTTGAGCAATTCACATACTTCAATGTGAAAATAAAAAGCTTTGCATTTAACTATTATAATGAGGTTGGTGACCTTATGTAAAATTAACTCGCGAAGTGAGAGTAGTTTAACTTAAAAAGGCATGATATATTAGTGAGTGGTGTTAAAGGTACTGAGGCATATAGAATGTTAGCATGGAGGTATCTTATGGCAATCCCCATGGAGAACAGACTCATGGGAGGCCTGCTGCTAGTATTCAGACAAACATGTTGTATGAGGAAGTTAAAGGGGAGTTGGTAGCTATTGTGAGTTTCATTACATTTCTTCAACCTGACAGCTTTTCTTCATTTCATCCTCGAAGAAAGAAGGCAACATCAGGAAATGTCACCATTGCAAACACTAGCCCCTGTTTTCTAGTACGACATGTGAACTTGAAACTACAAGCAGAGTCAGATGTGACTGATACAACCTAACCTACATATAGAACTCAAAATAGTCCGTCCGTTGGATGATAGAACATGGAAGGGTCATGCCCATTCTCTATTAGGCAAGAGTTAAATTCTAGATCTATACGATATGATTGAAGATTCAAACAAGGAAAAAAAAAGGAAAAGTGTATAGCAAGAGAAGTGGAAATACACCAATCGAATGGCTTGACCATTGAACAATGAAGTGTTAGTTAAAGGCAAACAATATTCAGCGCTAACAATCAATCAACTACTCTTCAATCTCAAATTAGTTGGACCGGCTAGTCCAATCCTTTGTTTCCAGTTGAGCATATTTATCATAGTTATGCTTTGCTTATCTCATAAAGGCCGAGGTAATATCAAACAGTGGCAAAATAAAAACAAAATCTTTACATTGACCACAAGTCATTCTCCTTCATGTATAGTCTAATGTTTCAAACTCGGGAACTATAGAATATTCAGCAAAGCATACAAATCTTAAATACTTGTGGATGAATGAGATTCGATATTATACCAAATATTTTCCACAATCCGGATTGTTGGATGGATACTAGAGGGGCAGATCTAGCCCTAAGGTATGGGTTCCTGGCAACCCAGTAACTTTAGTTCATACCTTATATTTGTATTACAAAATTCACAAAGTATCTATCAAAAATTGATTGTGAATCCAGTTATCACTTTAAATTAACTTGAGCACATTATAAGAACTCATAAACTTCAAATCCTAGATCTGTCTCTGATACTAGCTCAATTTTTTTTCTTAGTAATTGAAGCAAGACCATTATTCCATATCAAGTTTTAAAAAAATATTTGCTAATTGTTTACTGTGTTTTTCAATGTTGCTATGTTTTCTAGAGCATTTTCTTCTTATTTGTAATTGAATTTGCTGCGGTGTTTTAGAATCAGCCTCTCTTATCTCCCAACAGGAAGTAGTAAGGTGTGCTGCTTACAATCTTACTCCACTTGTGCGATTTCACTGTGTATCTTGTTGTTGTTGGAGAATCTAATGATCGTGTATAATGATGCACCAAGTGAAGGTAAAATTAGAGAAGCAGTGCATAATGCTTTTCGAGTATTAACAGTTCATCCAATCGATACAATCTGGTAGTAGCAAATAAAGAAATCGAAAACGGAAGAGATCAATTGCTACTATTCTATAAGCGAGAATGAAGATCTGAGAGAAGATTGTTACAAACTTACAAATAGTGAAGGTAAAAACTACTTTAGCCGACATAGACATGGACGCCAATGGCAAGGAGGAAGATAGTGATGAGTCCAAAGTAAATTACTGCATGGACCAAAATGGAAACGCCGCTGGTTTGCATGTTCCCGAATTCAACCGTTTTTCCACGGCCGGGAAGCTGGAATAGTAGACCCGGAGTTAACAACACGAACAGCACCACCGCTATCAAAACTGGGCCCCAGTCCGCCATTGTTAATCGGAAAATTAGCTCGTTGATTTGAACAGAGTAAAGAAATGGGGAAAAGTGTGGGGATAAAAGCGAAAGATCCAGAGAAAAAAAAAAGGTGGACTAAAAGTGAAAAGAAAGGAACAGATCTGACTGTATAAGAGTAGTTTAGCAGTCAATTGAAGTGGTGTGTGAATCGTAATTGTACAAAATTAGGGATTAGGAAACTCTATCTTATTTTTACGGAAAATGGTAAAAATGCTCTTAAAATTTGTTAAATTGAACAAAAATATTTTTAGTTAATAGTTTGGTTTTGAGATATTTGTTCCGTCAATTGTTTGGTTCAAATATATTTAAATGGTTACTTAACAAGTCAATTAAAAATTAAAGATTAATTTTACTGAACGTGGTTAGATAGACTCTATTGAATGAAATGAGTGTTGGCCAGAATTGATCTAATAAAAATGAAAGTGGAAGAAATGAAAGATGTTGATATGGATGCACAAGTATATTAGGGCCTGTTTGGCCATAAATTTTTTAAATAATATTTGGGAAAAATTTGACAAATAATGTTTGTCCTTACAATTTGTCATTATTTGATAAATATTTTTGGCAAATATTTCAAATACTAGTTTTTTCTAGTATTTAGGCCAAATCTCATTATTTGGGATATTATAAAAATTAAAATTTTACCCCAATCTTTTATCTTTTACAAAAACACCCTCTCTAGTAGTTGTTTGTGTTGTATTACATATTTTTTTACGTTAACACCAAAATAGTGATGAAATATTTAGTGAATATTAAATAATGATATGATTGTTGATGAAAATTATTAAAAATTGGCTCTAGGTAACAAAGTCATGTGCTTTGTCTACTTCACGATGTATGGAATAATTCTTGTTGCACTCACTCCAAATTACCACGTTGCTTTAGTGTCATGGACACTATTTGTTATTGTTGTAACGAACATTCAATTGACTTGTAATACAAACTTTTAGTTAGTTTTGATAGTTTTAAAACTTGTGTGTGTAAATCATATTTTTCTAAAAAGGTGAAATATATTTCCCAAATTTTATGGCCAAACACATGGTGAAATTTCACCCAAATTTTCACTCAAATAATATTTACCAAGAATATTTGAAAATCTATGACCAAACGCTAGCTTAGAGTGATAGAATTATAGATGTGAATATTTGGACAAAATAGGAGTACGGAACTCTATGATGGACAAGATGAGGGAGCTGGAGAGTGAAATAGTTTGGGCATGTAAAGATCGATGTACACATATGTCCTGCGAGGAGGTGTGTGAGGTTGAATATAGTGGGTCGAGGAGAGGTGGAAGAAGATTGAAAAAGTATTGAGATGAGGTGTTTAGATAAGATACGATGCATTTTTTGTATAACTAAATTTTTTATGTATTTGGCTGGATAACTAAATTGTTAGTATGCAGTTAAGAATTGTATAACTAGACTTTTTATGTATTTGATTGGATTATAACATAGAGCACCATGTCATTCATTGTAATAACCTATTCATGTATTATTTGGCTTTTGATATTATTGTTGTTCTTAATTTTGATATCTCGCATTGTCAGTTATTTATCGTGTTTCGATTATCATATTATTTTGTTGATTCACCATGTTAATTGTTATTTTTTTTTGCATTGTTTTTTTTTTTTTGTACTTAAATTTGTTATTTTCGAGTCATGATCCTTTCAAACAATCTATTTACCTGTTATTATAAGGTACATATACTCTATCCCATTTAGACTTTACTTATAAAATTTAACTAAGTATATTGATGGTTATTTGTTGGTTATATAATAGTTCAGAAATATCTCCTTTACAAAAAAATGAAGATATTATTTTTTTTCTTTTTAGATATATTCTTTTTGAAGTAATACATAAAATAAACTTTATAGAGGAAAAAAAAAGTTTGGGCAATTTTAAACGAACCAACATTATATCTTGCATCTTGGCCTAACAACATGTTTGAACAAGATTTTGAGATTCGAGTGCCTCCTCCGATATCAATTAATTTTTATGATCAAATAAATATTTAGTAGAAATCTAATTTAAAAAATTCTTTTAAAATTTATGGCTAAACAGTTCATTATTTAAGATACAGTAAGTATGTTTTATCTTCTATTTTTCAGTAAAAATTTCTTGTATGAGCTCTAAAATAAAATATTAAAATATCTTAATAACGTTATGAAACATAACCACTGATATCAAATTCCCATATTCAAACGAGCGAAAAAAAAGTATTTGATTTGCATTGTCCATTAATACAATAAATCAACTTATTCCACACATCTATGGAAAATCAAACCAATCAAAAAAAAAAAAAAAGTGTACCACCTTAGATGCCCAAAACGTACATCTTTCAGTAGAACCATTAATTAAAAATTTCACATATTAATTAGAATGTCCCTTGCATTTACAAAGCCCGAATAGATGAAAAACAGAAGTATATCATTACAAAAACAGTAAAACTCCAATAAATATCGGAATAACTTTTATTCATCTTAAAAAAAATATAAAAAAATCAACATTTCTCACTAAAAAAATTCAACGTCTAATATATATATATATAAAAATTCAACTTCATATGCATATTACTCAGCTTTTTGGTAAAAAGATGTTCGGATGAACCTTCTGCGTCCTTGGCCGCTAGCCAAAGAGAAGACGAATGCGAAAGGCCAAAATGAGGATGGTGAAAAAGACGAAAAAGATTAGTGTGTGAAGGAGAATGGCTTTGCCATTAGTATTGAAGCTGCCGAATTCGACGTGACGCTGATTCCCCGGCAGCTGAAATATGAGTCCAGGCGAAAGAAGAACGAATAGAAGGTAACCAATAATAATTGGCGCCCAATCTAACATTTTTTTCTCAGTTGCAGGCAAATATGTTATGAAAATTGCACAGTAGTGTTTTTTTTCAATTCAACATTTGTGGCCACAATTTATTATGGTCTTGAAAATTGATTCCATACTTGTTCCTCAAGAGAAGTAGCTAGAAACATGCTAAAGCCTTATGATGGAGGGCAAAGCATCTTCTTTTGGGTAACCCATCCGGGAGCGGATGCAAAAAAGAACTCGCACATCCAGCTGAATTCAGTAACTTTGACTCAAATCTTATATGTCTTAAAAGAAATTTATTAAGGGACTGTTTGATCATAGATTTTCCAAATAATATTTGAAGAAAAACTTGGCAAATTTTGCGTATACAATTTGTAATTATTTGATAAATATTTTTGGTAAATATCTCAACTACTAATTTTTGTTAGTATTTAGCCCAAATCTCATTATTTGGGATCTTTTGAAAATTAAAATTTTACTCCAAACTTTTAGCTTTTACAAAAGCACCCTCTAGTGTAGTTGTTTGTGTTGTATTACATAATTTTTTACGTGAACACCAAAATAGTGATCAAATATTTAGTGAATATTAAATAATGATATGATTGTTGATGAAAATGATGAAAACTTAACTCAAGGTAATCAAAGTCATGTGTTTCGTCTACTTCACGATGTATGGAATGATACTTGTTGCACTCGCTCCAAATTACCACATTACTCTAGTGTCATGAAAACTATTTGTTATTGTTGTAACGAACATCTAATTGACTTGTAATACAAACTTATAGTTAGTTTTAATAGTTTTTAAAATTTATGGGTATAAATCATATTTTTCTTAAAAGGTGAAATATATTTCTCAAATCCTATGGCCAAACACATGGTGAAATTTTACCAAATTTTCACTCAACTAATATTCGCTAATAATATTTAAAAATTTATGGTCAAACGCTAGCTAAATCTCAAATTCATTAACTCAAATGATTAATGAATTTAATAATATCACGATCCTATAGAATTCAAATCTAAAATCCGAAACTTATACTAAAGTTACATCATCTGGAACAGGGAACTTGAAGTGATACTCATAAAACTATTTAGAAAGTTAATTTGAATTATTATCTTTAGCTTTCTATTTTAATTAAATATCATTGAATAAAATTAAGTAGAAAGAGTATAAACACCAGAATATACTTCATCCCACTAATTGTGTTTAGTGCTTTCTTCTCTTGTCCATTAATCGAAGAATTTTTTTTTTAAAAAAAAAAATCTTTTTTCAGAATTTATGTCACGTTTGTTTTGTTCTTTCTTCTTCTTTTTTTTTCTTTTTCTTCAGCGCCCCTCTAACTTCTTATAATTACATGTTTTTCCTCTAACTTCAAAAAACACACTTTCCACCCCCATGTTCATATTGTACATAAACAATACCTTAACATGTCGATTCCATGAGAACTTTATGACTGTTTTCATTCATTTCTCTGCGATGGAAGTCTAATTTTTTTCAAAATATATTTTAATTGAATTTGTTTGAAACAAGAAGTCCCTTTGATATCTTTTCATGAGTAGATAAATAAAAGGTCGTTTGGTAGACCGTATTAAAATAATAGTCCATATATTATGTATGGTATTATTTAGTACTATATTGATAGGAATTTGGGCCTATGTTTAACTAATATATAAATTAGTTACACCTCTTAATGGTATTATAGGATATATTACTAATACTAATATTATGGGATAAGTCTATGTAAAGATAAAAGTATTCCTCAAATCATTTTAACTATTTTGTATATTCTCTTGATTTTATGTATTGTATTTGTATTAGTTAATTTATTTAAATAAATTATCTTACAAGTTATCTAGATAAAGTTGTTTGTTACTAAATAAATTAATACAATATTTAACAGTAACTAATTAAAAGGACAAATATATCACAACATGACGTTTGTGATCCTAATTGAAGTATAATTCGTTGATGTGCTATTTGTATCGACTAGGATAAGCTATTTGTGTGATTTTCTAATTATTTGTATTTTGAGCAGTTTATAAAATTGCATACATATTTTAATTACAACTTACATTTTCTTATACGTAAATGTAGATGATTTATTCAATTTTACTATTGTTTGCCGTCTTCTCAATTTTAGAAGTTGACAATTTATCTTTTTGTTAATTGAGAATTGACATTTTGTAAGTAATCAATACTAAGTTGATGATTATTTATCCTCAAATAATTTAAGTGAAAAAAGGCAAACATGATAAAAAAAATTGTTCTTCTCACAACTAGTTAGAAGACCATAAAAAAATAGTATTGTCTAACAATTATTTACCTTAACTCAATTGCATAATAATTCAAGGGTATAAT